ACTAAGAAAAAGCTTAGATGATGTTGAGGATCATGCGTGTCCAAGAAATAACGACAACGAGTATCATGTTTTCCACATGCACGGTTAAGCAATGATTGATATACGTAACAAGACTTTCAAACTGCCACTGTAACCTTATATACATAACAATTATGTTTTAATTGTATCCATTATACCAATAAGTTGCCATTAAAGTTTCTTATTAATGCGAAAAGCAGCTCGTTGCTCGATCTCCAGTTTTGTGCATATCACGTGTGTCATGCCCCAATCCTGACATACATCTGGGATCGACATGTGACGTCACTAAATACTCGTATATCTCACATACCCTGCCTCCGGGATATGGACAAAGCACAACTCAATATTCGAATTGCATAGTAATTTTTCGTATACTTTATGGTTGCATCTAACCGCCTTAGTTAGACTGCCTACGTACCCTAAAAAGGGATCAAGCCATTCATAGTTCACCATTTACTACACTCCGACGTTTATTACAGTACGTTTAAGTAGAAAAGCATAGCATTCCTCAATCATTTATTAGAACTTGACAAGCATGAAATTACTACGTCCAAAGCTGCATAACAAACCCATATGACATTCAAGATTTCCATTCCATCCATCATATAAATCACTATATTTCAACATGATACCTCAATCCACAACATGTAACATATCAAAGAACCAATGAAGCACAATATACCACATTGATCTATTAATCCATTCATAATAATAACAATTATATTCAACGACATTCCACAATCACATCAATTAATCAATTCCATGAATCAAAGATGCACGATATTAATGTCTGACTACATTAATCAATCAATGAAATAACATATCATTTCATGAATTTAATTAAAGAACTCTACATAATTCCCTACTTGGATTATAAGTAATAACATGGTAAATTTCATTTATATTCACAAGATCTAGTGTGGTTAATCCCCATTCCTCGAATCTAGGGTTCCACACTAACTTATGAAAATAAGCAAGAGCAAGGATTCTGGACCACTCAACGGAATCCAACTAGAATATGGCACCTACCGAAATGTTCCAAGTACCACTAATCCTCATCACCTCTGGTATGCGTATGATCCCTCATTGTGGATATACCAAGCAGAAACATAAGCATAATCTAAGCGTGCGGGCAGTGATCACCCATCGCGGATATACCAAACATGATCACCCCTATAACACGTATGGTCCCCCATTGCAGATATACCAAGCAGGACTACCTATCGTGGGTATACCAAGTAGGACCACATCTTAACTCTAGGTAGTGATCACCCATAGTGGATATACCAAGTATGATCACTCCTAGAATGCGTATGGTCCCTCATCGCAAATAAACCAAGCAGAACCATAGGCATAGTCTAATAACGTAGGTATTGATCACCCATTGTGAATATGCCAAGCAGGATTGTATCCTATAGCTCTAGGTAGTGATCACCCATCGCGAATATACCAAGCATGATCACTCCTAGAATGCATATGGTCCCCCATCGTGGATATACCAAGCGGAACCATAAGCATAGTCTATTCATGCAGACGATGATCACCATTGTGGTACCAAACATGATCACGCCTGAAATACGCATAGTCCCCCTTCGCGGATATAACAAGCAGAACCATCCATGTACCTCTACTACATGGTGCAGTTAGATTAACACACAATCCACTTATCCTTATCTCAACCTCTATGATTTACATTGTAATCACTTGCACTCTCAATGCCTCATGATCATTAACTACCATGTCACACAAGCCTACATGTTCTACATAACACTTCTAATAGGATTTTAGGCTCACAATGTCATAACATTTAACATACATATCATTCATATTATCAAGAAGGTAAATAAACACATATATAACACAATATGACCATATAACACAACATGACGTCCCATACATGTAAACTAATGTATATACTATATGGGATAACTCACTAACCAATATAGGCCCACTAAGTCCTACAGTCTCTAGTAATACTAATTTTAATATTTAAGATCAATTCGTAGCATATTGACCAAAACTCGAGTCTTTGTCAATGGTGGGGTCCATAACCCTATACAAGTCAATCTGGAACATCCGCCAATGGATGTCCAATCTATAACTTTCCAAGGGTCTCATTTATCTTTTAGAACAATATCCTAAAGTTTCAGAACGATCTAATGGTCGAATCTCCGCCAATCGCAAATTCAAGTGGCGGTTAACGTTTGATTTTACAACTTTGAAATCCAATTCGGGAAGATCCGTACGTCAGATTCCTGATCTGTCATTTTCTAATGTCATCAAATATTACATACTACTTTGTGTTAAAGTTTGGCACCGATCCAATGGTCGGATCGTCAATTCATATAATAACCAAATGGCGGCCGAATAGGCGATCAACTACGAAACTATACTAAAACATCAGACTTCCACTAAATGGATGTCAAATATGGAATTGAGGCATCAAAATTTAGCCTAGAAAGGTCATGTGGGGTCTCAGCCCACGCGCTGCCTCGACTCGCTGGAAAATTCAACTATTTCAAAAAATTACCGAATTTCACCAGAATGTAGAGCAAGCCCTAGAATTGGGTGTTTCTTGATTCATCCTCAAATCGACTTTGACACTCCAACCAATGATTAGGCATTATTCTTGAGCTCAAGGGAAGTTGTTTGATGGTGGGGATCGATGGGGAAGGTTGTAGAAAACGGCGAATCATCGTCGGGTGTCCTCGAAACCCACGGGTTCTATTCTTCATGATTTCGGGGTTAAAGCTAGTGAAGTTTGGTTGAAAATGGAAGAGGGGACTATGATGGTTCATTTTCAGGTAGTGGCGAGGTTCAAATTGCCGGAAAAGTGGATGGGAAACCCGTCGGAAATTGTTATAGTGGCTCGGGTCGGGTCGGGGTTGGGTTAAATGGGAAAAGGTTTGGGTTTGGTGCTTCTCACTTCCCTCCTTTCTCTCCCTGATCTCCCCTCTATGTTGCTGCCACCTGGCAGCTTCTAATCTTTTTATTTTTTTATTTTTTTCAAACAACTAAAACATCTCTAATTTCTTCGTTTCAACTCTGATTCGCAAACGGTTTTCGCCTACACACTCGTAGGATCAAACTCCATCCAATTATACTTAGTGTGACCCCATAAAGTCCACGAATTTTTAATGATTACTGACCAAAATTCAAACTTCGTAATTAGTTTAATTAAAATCTAAAGTTAATATAAATTCCCAAAAATAATAATAAAATCTCCTTGATACAAATATGTAGTTTGCAATAGTGAAATCCAAGAATAGGATTTCACAATGTGCATGTGGTGCGCATATAGTGTATATGGAATTTTTCTGATTTAAAAAAAAAAAAGTTGTGAGCTCTGAGTTTTTGGAGTTGGAATATTATTATGAAGTTAGCCATGCACACCACACACACATTACCAAAAAAAATTTCACAAATTTTAGCAATTTGACAGTTGAACCAGAAATTGTTCGAACCTAGTTTTGTAGCACGTCAAAACTTGAAATTTATTCCACAACCCATAAGGCCATAGGCCCCAACATGAAACAGAGACCCTAATTTAACTTCTAAGTATTAATTCATCTGGGTTTTTGGGTTGACTCAGATCTGTGAACATATCATGTGCATGTCATGTACATACAGTGGGCAAATCCTAAAAAAAAATCATCCAACAAAACACCAACATTCAATGACTGGGCTTTGTTCCCACCCTTAATGCAAGTCTAGTGGTGGTGGTCTCGAGCCTCGGTTGTTTGCGTTGTTGCCAGAAAATGGTTGGAAAATTTGCAGCCTGCTTGAGTTTCGATCCCAATGATCGGGGATGAGATTCGTGACAAGGTTAGGTGTTTTGGACTTGTGAGGACGAGATGAAATTGGTGGTGGCATCGATTTGGATAGTGTTGATAGGGATGACAGGGGCACCATGTGTGCACAATGAGTGCACAATGAGAAAGGGAGAAAGTGCGCGAGGGAGAAAGTGAGAGAAGAGAGAGAGGGAGAGAGGGAGTAGAGAGAGAAATAAGAAAATGGGAGCAAATAACTCATTTATATGTGGGTATTTTAGTAATTTCAGTTTTGTGCATGGTGTGCATGGTCGATTTGTCCTATTTTTGTCCCAAGATTAAGAAATTGTCTCATTTTAGAGTATTTTCCTATATTTTTTGTGTAGCGTAATTAGTTTTAAATGGATGGCTGTTCGGTTTTTGTACTTGGTTAATAGTTGCTTGAATTAAGCAGATTAGTTTGTTCATCAATTAAGCTGAATTGGTAAAGCTTCATTCTCTTTACCAATGATCAGATTTCATTGTAGCCTTTTTGGTTTTCGGTTCACTCGATCTAAATGAGATTGTGAAAGTCAGCCTTTTTGGTTTTCGGCTTTAATCCTCAAATGCTACCTGTATTTTATAAATTATACTAAGTTGTGCTCATTTCTGGTACAATTATCACCCCAAATTGTCTCAGATCATCAAATTAAAAAAAAAAAAAAATTGTGCATAAAAGAGCCTCACTTTTGCCTCCCACAAACCCCCAATTAATTTTTTATTATTGATTTTCTTTTATTTATTTGACCAGCGGTCGAAAATTTAGAAGGGTGTGCGAGATGTTAAATGAGTATGTGGATAACACTATCCTAAAATCAATTGGCAATATAAGAAGTAGCTCAATAACTAATAAGCACATGCAAAGTTCATTTTTTAATGTGAGATTTATAGTCTCAACATGACCCCTTACATGTGACAAATGCTCAAGTCAAACACATGGACAATACGAACTGGGTGACTTGAAGCACATGCGGTCGTAGACTTGACACGAGAGACAACCTTATCTGATATGATAAAGAAACTTGAGATCCCACCATACCTAATTGGTAATATGAGAAATAACTCAACTACATATAAGTACATGTCCACACTAAATATTCAGTCAAGGTGTCCAATTAACAAAAATATTAGACAAGAAAATAAAATGAAATTGGGGACAGATATATAAAGTGTAGTTTTTTTCACGACTAGGCACTCGGTACTCACACAGGCACAGTGAGACTGAGTCCCGCTCTGCAAAATCCACCTCCTCCTTCTTCGCAAAGTCCCTCCAATAAACTCTGCAACTGTATCCACAGCTCCCTCGACCAAACTCACCAACAAGGTATCTTCTCCCTCCCTTCAATTCTCTCTTTCTCTGCAATTTTGGTCAGTTACTGGCGCGAGATCTCGGCCACTGCAAACGAGGACGTTGGAAAGCAGTGGGATGGCTACTGTAGAAATTTCTTAGAATTATGCCTATAGGTTGATTGGATTTGGTGGTAAAGATAATCCGTTGAATCATGGTTGTTGTTGAATTCAGTCAGCTTGGCTTACTCACAGTCAGAGGTGATTGATTGTACTGAAATCTAGGGCTCTCTGGGTATTATTTGCCTCATTTGTATATTTCTACAATACGTATGTTTGTTATTTCACTACAAAATTTGTCACTAATGTTATAATTCTGCAATTTGGGCTGTAATTGTATTGATGTATGCATGAAATGAATGTAATTTACGGGGAAAATGATTGTACTTATATAAAATCAATCAGAAATTGATTAAACCCAAGTAAACAAGTTATTTAATATGGGTGTTTTGATAAATTTCAAGGGAATAATTTGTAGAGCTTGTAAGTGTACTTTTGTGTGTTTTCGGGTGTTAGTGCATTGTTTTTCAAAACATATTAAAGGTGAAGAATGCCCATCATCGTAACTGCAATATCCGTATACTTATAATTAAAAGATGCGCTTCAATGTATTAATGGAACTAAAGACCTTTCCTTTTTAGTTTCATTTTACTTTGCTTAGCTAGGTTGCGAATTTTGAATGTTGGAGCATTTCCTAAACTACCCACATTTACATTTGTTTTGCTTTTAAATATGTCAGGAACCAAAACAAGAAGCAAAGAGGGAAGCCATGTCTGGCCTCCCTCGGTCATCAAGTGCTCCACTGAAGAATGGCCTTCCTCCCCAAGAACTCCTTGATGATCTGTGCAGGTCCATAAATACTCGCTCTTTTCATATTAATATTGTTCTCCTCTCTCTTCATAGTGATGAGTCCTAGGTGCAGTAAATGATTTATACTGATTTTAGAAGGCTGATGAAATGTGCAATTTTCTTGCAACAAAGCTTTTCCTTTTATGCATCTCAATATCATTTCATTAAAACAAGATTCAAATTGCCAATTGGTTTGGTCTTTCTCTCTCCCTCCTCCTGCTTACAGTTTGTCTATGTTATGTTAACTTGCTTTGATATGCATCTGAATCTATTCTTTTACCATTTACTGGCAGCCGGTTTGTTCTAAATGTACCAAAAGAAGACCTGCAATCATTTGAGAGGATTTTATTTCTCGTGGAATATGCTCATTGGTTTTATGAGGACAACTCAGTGGAGAAAAATCCATCGCTGAAGTCATTCAATTTGAAGGAGTTCACTTCTTTATGTATCCTTTGCAGACAATGACTCGAATTTATTATCTTCATGTTTCTTATACATCATGGTGAAATCAGTATACACATATCTGTCCCCCAACCCCTTCTCTCTCTCTCTCTCTCCTCTCTCTCTCTCCCTCTCCTGTACCAGCAATATCTAGCTTAGTAGGAAAGCAGGTTGCCTTCCTTTAACATCATTTGTATTGTTTCTACATGCATGGCATAGCCCAAATTGGTTGTTGCAGCTCCTGCATGGGTGGAGAGTTTGACAATTTCTCTCTCTCTCTCTTTCTCCCTCTCTCCTGTACCAGCAATATCTAGCTTAGTAGGAAAGCAGGTTGCTTTCCTTTAACATCATTTGTATTATTTCCACATGCATGGCATAGCCCAAATTGGTTATTGCAGCTCCTGCATGTATGGAGAGTTTGACAATTATTGCAGCTCCTGCATGTATGGAGAGTTTGACAATTTCCGTCTGAAAGCACTTCTGACAGTACGGTTGGGAAAGCTTGAAGTTCTTGACTATGTCATGATGACCTCATATGGTCTATCCGATCCAATTTCTCATTCCCCTGCTCTATGTTTGCCCTTTGTTTAATTTCCTTACATCCTTGTTTTCCTTAATGTGTTGCAGTGTTTAACAGCTGTGATGTTCTTAAACCTTATGTTGCCCATATAGATGACATATTCAAGGACTTCACTTCTTACAAGGTCAAGGTTCCTGTAACTGGCGCAATCATTTTGGATGAAACCTTTGAAAGGGTGAGGATTTCTGTGAATGATTCTAGAACTCCCAAGTACAACCTTTTCTTAACATGAACGACTTTTTAAAAGCTATTTTTCTTATGTTGTAAACCATTTGGTATTTTTTAAACTTGATGACTTGTCGATATCATAAGCTTTTTTTATGTCCGTGCACAACCTTCTGTATTAGGTGAAATTATTGGTCGACTATTAGAGCTTTAACTTAAAGCAGTTCGATTGTTTTTCTTGTCCTAATTTACATTCGTCCAACTGCAGTGCTTGCTCGTGAAGGGATGGAAAGGATCAAGTTGGAGTTTCCCTCGTGGCAAAAAGAACAAAGATGAAGAAGACCATGCATGTGCCATCAGAGAAGTAAGATTTTTTTCATATGGTGTTTTCTTTTTTTATCCAGATCAATATTTTCCCCGGGTATTTACAGCGAGGTTTCACAGCCTTGGACCAGTGAAATTGACAATACTGTTAAAACTATATCGCTATGTCTCTCTGCAGCTGTGAATGTGTTGTGAGGGCAGAGGGTGGGTGGTGTGTATTTTCAATCTGACATTTTATTTCCATGATGTATGTTGTTCATCTTTTTGAGGTAATAAAATTTGTGCTATGGTTTTAGTATTCATATCCATTCCAAAACAATGTTCTTGCCCTATACTTTTGTGACACGTTAGGAGCGTGTATGGAAGGAAATGTTTCAGAACTCAACTTTTTCCCGACTCTCCGACATGTAGCAGGACTTTTGATGTTTTTGGACCCGGTCAATGTGATAAGAGTTAGGAAAAGGGTTGAGAAATTAGCCTGGTTTTATGGCATCATCCTATGGGAAATTGCATTTTACTCCGTTTACTGTATGATGCTTAACACCAGTAGGTGTCATATTTTCCCTATGAAGGCACACACAACCTGGACAGTTCTTGTGGCCCCCCTTCTGTTATGAATGACCTGGTTCTTTGTGGTGAATGCAGGTCCAGGAAGAAACAGGTTTTGATGTTACAAAGCTTCTTGACAAAGATGAGTATATTGAATTTATATTTGGACAACAAAGGGTGCGGCTCTACATTATTGCTGGTGTGAGAGAGGATACTGCCTTTGCACCACTCACCAAAAAGGAGATCAGTGTATGTGAATCTTAATGCATCCACGTTTTTTCTTCATTTTTGTTTTTACACAGTTTCACATTTCTTTAGTGAAATTTATTCTGAAGGAAAACCAATTGTAGTTTTCATTGTAGGTTATACTTTGGTAAAGTTTCAGAGTTATCTCTTCATTAAGTACTTAATTTGTGGTTTTTTCTTTGCTAGGTGACCTCTATATTTTTATTTAATGTCTTCATTGTCACTTGATAGAATATATGTCCCTCTTTTCCAGCACAATATCATTGGTTAAGTGCACATTTTGTATTTGTTGGCAGGAAATCGCATGGCACCGGCTGGATGATCTTCAGCCTGCAAGTGATAATGTGATATCTCGTGGTGTCACCGGCCTCAAGCTTTACATGGTGTCCCCTTTTCTGGCGTAAGTTATTTTGGTTTATAACTTTAATTACTTTCTCAATTCTTCCAACTTTTTATAATGTCTGATAGGATCAATGTCTTCTAACAGAACATTGAGATCATGGATTTTATCACATCAGTCCCCAGTTGCTCCAAGACCTGATATGCCTCTCAAAGGTTCTTCCCCTTCCTTTGAAATCTTTCGGTCGCCTAGAAGCTTCAGGTTTATGTTGAACTTGTGAGATAAAGGAAAAGGAAAAAGAAGGATGAATCTTACAAACTTGGAGAAATCAAGCATTATGAATGTGAATAGTTGGCCAACAGATGTTGGTTCTTTTACCCATGAAAATACAAAACTGCCGGTATATTGTGGTATACATATTTAATCATAGTTTAGCACCCATATGGATGTCGAGTTGTATTTGATCCTTATAAAAGACCCAGGTGCTTGTAAATTTCTTTTCTGCTTCTCTAATGAGCTCTGCTTTTCATTCTTCTTAGGAATCAGCGTGTGGAATGCGAAAAGCAGCTCGATAGGGAGTAGTAGCCCCTTGATAGTGGAGAGCCAATCAACTAAACCTGAGCCCGAGGTTCGTCCTCCTGAGAAAGGACCAGGCAAGAGTTTCAGAAACTTCAGGTTTGATGTTGCTCCAATCTTGCAAGCAATTGATGCTGGTTTCTGTTCTTCAATGTAACTTGCCTTCTTGTAAAGTGGTTCGAGTTTGCATAGCCTGGTTAATATCCCCATTTCACTTGTATTCCCGAATAGTACAGAGCTGCCCTCGTGTCAGGTGTACATCGTTGTTGGTGTTAGATTCTCAGTTGTGGGTGTGTGTATATTCTGTATAGAAACCCACCTATGGCAAAGGATATACTTTGAGTTCATGTTGGTTTGGAAACTCGGAGGCGGATACGATGAATGAGAACGTTAGATTCTGCAGCAACATGATTTGTGTTCTTCATTACGATAGATTGGTCTTGTGGCTTGTCCGCTAGAAATGTTCATATGTGAATACTGGTCTCTCCAAGATGTTTTTCATGTCATCGTTTGTGATTCCGTGCAGGAGGGAGGATGCTTGTTTTGACATTTGATAATGACCTGAATTACAATAGCTATTACATGGAAGAAGAAAAAATGCCCATGTTAGCGTTTTTGTTAGGCCTTTCATAGTAGGTCGGAAATTTTCAGTTCGATTTCTATAAATTGAAACCAAACTCATATGCCGGAAATTTTGTGTTCTATTGTTTTTGTGTAATATATGAGCCGCGTGAGTTTGAATCTTTTAGAATGACTCTCATAGCTATTAAACTCGCACCACTATAGAAACATTGTTCTACGATTCGTACATATGGAAATTTAAACTCTGATAAAAGCACTATGGACGGTCTTAGCCTCTCATGAAGATGAATTTTCTACGGTATTTTAGAGTATGGAATGAAATGTTTTTAACCATTTGATTTTTATTTAAAAATAGAAAAATTAAAATCTAACATTTAAAACACACTTAGTTGCTAATACTCCGAAACATCCTAAAATTTTCACAATGAAGGTGCCGACAATTGTGAGGATTCTTATACAGGCCTGTAGATTTTGCATGCATGTCGGTTTATGTTTGAAATATGAGCTTTCTTTTGTGTGTTGTTTGTGATTGCGACCCGTGTGGTGCTAAAAGGGGCTCTGGCCACGGTTATTTGTGGCATAAATTCTCCCTGGACTACTTTTTCAATGTGGATTCTTTTTCTATCTGCTTTTAGAATTGTGGCGGTGCTGGCCATGTGGCTCGTGTTCTTCCTGTTCGCTGCATTTCGTTTTTGGCTTTGGTTTTTGCCTTTCAGTTTAGGACCAACTTCTTGGCATTTCCATCACACAAGATTTGTGGAAGATTTCATTTTCTCGTTCACTTTTGTATGGTTTGATCGGCTTTTTATGTCGAATTGGCTACATAGTCAATACCAGTGTCATCATCTAGATAATGGACCCGACACATCCTCAAACATGCCATTATATGATTAGAGTATCGAAATTAAGGAGAGACACTTTTATAGGACGACCTTAAAACATTATGTTTGCATCTTTGACCACGGTCACACAATGAGAGATGGATACATATGGCACATGGGTCCCCCCTTCGAAAGTGATTATTGCTTAGAAACTTCCATAGGTCGAGATTTGTAAGGTGTAGCGCTTGTGAATTTATGTTTCTCGTTGCAGTGAGGTAATGAGAGAGACACAGCTAGATTTCCATAGATTGACCCCATAACTCCTATGGGTTTATCTCTCAATTTTATCACAAGATGACAAACACAAATTATTTATGAAGTTGTCCCGAAAATTAAAAAGTATGAAATTTGATATGTAATCTCTCTAATATTAGTGTCTAATGATGACACTGCCAAGAAATCTCTTCTATTTCTTTGGTCATCACAAGATTAAAAGACCTAGAATCCCTTGTAAGTGGTCAAGAATTGTTGTTTCACTAATTAGTGGAACAAAACATAGGGTTAGTATTACCCTTACATCATGCATATCAAAACGTAGTCATGATGCCCCACTACCATGCATCAAGTGTGCAGTCTTTTTGGACTTTGTGTTGTATAGGGGGATGTACAATTAGTGGATCCATTGATTATCTTGAAAAGAAAATGCCCCTTTTGCTTTGCTTTCTTAAGAAGGCACTTTGTTTTTTCAAAAACAAAAAAACAAAAAAAAAAAAAATAGGAAGGCACTTTGTTTTTGTGTTGCAATTTTTTCCAATTTTCCATCTATCATTCAATTATTATAGGCATTCAATTATTATAGAGATTCAACGTGAAAAATAGAGTGTCGCCTGTCAACTGCCTGACACTCTCTTCCTTCTCTTTCGAGGATTCATACAACCGACCTACGTGCAATAAGACTTAAATGTTGTTGTTGTTCCATGATCACTCATATCTCCAACATGTTAGCTTCAATATCTCCTAATCATGGTGTAAATGCATACTTTATTCCTTGTTGCTTGTAAGGATTTTTTTTTAATTTTATTTAAAAGAACGATATTATCTACAATAAGAGTGGTGAGTTTAGCATCACAATGGGCTAGCATAATATGATTCAAATTTGCCTTGGTGAGAATTGAAGCTAAGACCTCTTACTTACAATATATTGGTGAACTAGTTGCCACTTGCTGCCTCTTAGTACTATGGTCTATGTTTTCTTTTTCTTTTTTATTTATTTATAAGTGACAGGTTTTAAGTTCAATTCTCGCCAAATGTGAATTAGAACCAAATTATTATGGCTAAGCTATTGTGAGGATTAGCCCACTCAATTACCTTTGGTAAACTAATGAAAATGGCTTTAAAACTTTAAGTTTTAACCGAAAACCATCCTATAACTTTATTTAATGATAAAGACAAGAGAAAGAAAAAAAAATCTAACTAAAGGCGCGTGCAAAGAGCACCTAACCAATCTTTCAGTTGCATAACCCTTTGACATAATCCAAGCATATTTTATTCCTCTAAAATTAAAATTTCAAATTGAAGTGGGTTCCGTTCGATTCAGAACCACATATGGGGTGGTATGGTTAGGAGGAGTCGATCAGGTGTGGGTTGGGATGGTTAGGGGTAAGGGTGGAGCAGCATCATTGACAACATCGTTGGATTCATCATCCATTTTTCTAGTAGTGGTATTGAGCTATTAGCCATGCATGACTTTAACGGCGTGGACGTTGATCTCTATCTTTTTTTTTCTTTTTAAAAAAAAAAATCCTTTTATTGCATTTTGGTGAAAGAACTTGAAAATTTGGGACAAGCATCTATCGTTAAATTTCATAAACAGTGTGATATCGTTAAGTTTCATAAGCAATGTAGAAAGTTTCATAAACAATGTCGTACGGTTAAGTTTCATAAACATAAGTTTCATAAACAGTGTAGTAAGTTTCATAAAACAGTGTAGTACCCTTAAGTTTCATAAACACTGTAGTAAGTTTTATAAATAGTATAGTACGTTTCATAAACAGTTTGTGTGAGGGGCGCGCGGATCCGCGCATTAGTTTTTTTTTTTTTTTTTAATATTAAAAATATGTCATTTTCAATAAAATTTAAGTTTTTTTTTTTTGTTATTTTTATTAAAATTTAAGAGTTTTTCATTAAAATTTAAGTCTTTTTATTAAATAAAGTTAAAACATAGTTATTTTATTAAAATAAACCTAGTCCAAGCCATTTTCATGAAAGTTCCCCAGATAATAATGCATTACAAAAGAAAACTGTTATTGACACTTTAAAAAACTGATTGTGTACTCTAAATTTTTTTATATTTTAAACAAGGGGTGTGCTATCCACACACTCCTTTTTACCTTTTCCACACCTCTTGTTAATTATTGTGCTTTGATTTTCTTCAATTCATCCGATTCGACGATTAAAATTAAAAAAAAAAATTATGAAAAGTAAAAAAATATGTGTAAATAACACTTTCCTTTAAACAAATACTCGAAGAATGCATAATTATATTTTTAAAGCGCCAATAGTTGTTCATGCTACACTTGACCAGTAATTCATTTACCCTAACACTTGAAGGTGCGGGCATTTAAGGGGCACTTTTTTAATTATTTAAGAAAATAACAATTTAAAAAGTACTTTCCTCCATGCCAAACAAAAATCAACTGATAGTATTATCTCTTTTCGTGCATTCCAGTGCGAAGTGAAATGAAAATCGAACGGCCCAGAAATCAATTCGAACTCCTTTATTAAAAAAATCAACCGTCCAATTTCGAGTGTTAACAATTAAAACTAAACAATCGACGGCTGATGGGATATGTCTGGACACGTGGTAACGGGTCCTCTCACAGTCTCACCATCCGGTGAGGTTAATCAATGCACAGAATGATAGGAGTACCAGTGGGACCTCATACGTGGCATGCGGCTGATCGTTTGCTTAGTAAACAGGGGCGGTCGTCGACGGTGATGGTCGGTTTATTATATTCAATCAAGGTCACATCATAAACGTGATTTTTGTGCCCTATACATTACATTTATTAGAAAAACGATAAGTATGTAGCATCATCACTGTTCTAACTCGTCTAGCGCTATTTAGGTTTCGTCTAGGTGTTAGGTGATTGATTATTGTTTTAATTAATATTTAGACGTTTGAAAATTAAGAAAGAATGCTTAGATCTGCTAAGGTGTCTGTCATACCCGCCTAAGTTGCGACTCACTTAGACAGAAAATAGGTAACTTTCATTTTATATTTTATTTTTTACAATAAATTATTAGGGATTGTTGTATACTTAAATGAACACACATTATATGATTGTTTCCCATGTTTTCATTATATTCCAATACTTCATAATATATATATATATATATATATATATATATATATATATCATTCTACTTTATAGTTTATGATGAAATTATATATATTTTAAGTATAAACAGATATTTATATATACGAAATATAGTAAATTTACTTAAATCCGTCTAGTCCATCTAGACGCCCACCAAGGCACTAGGTCCCACCATGCCGCCTGACTAGCGACTGACGTCTTTTAGAACCTTGAGCATCACATAAATGTTGAAATAGTCATATCAGTAATTTTATTTTACAATTATGTAGTTGTTTGATTATCTGTTATGACAAGGAGTTTCAAAGTTCGATTTAAAATAATAATAATAATAATAAAAATAAAAAAATTTATGTTTGTGATGGTCACATTAACGTATATTAAGTTGTTTTCCATTCTTTGATCGGAAAGATATTTGGTTATGGAATAGGACTTATTTTTTCTTAATTGAAATGGTGGAGAATTTTATTGTTTTAAAGAACAAGTCAATATACATAAGCAATGTGTAATTTAGTAATACGGTTTAATAGTATTTCTATTCATTTGTTAGTAAGAGATCTTTGATTCAATTCTCGCCAAAGATGAATTTGAGCCAAATTATTGTTAGTTCATTGTAAGGCTAAGCCTATTCCCCTTCCTTTTAATGTAGATAATATCATCTTTTCAAAAAAAAAAATATATATATATATATATATATATATATATTTATTTATGGTTCTTATTTATTCATTAGGTGACATGGATGCTTATGTGGATTTTAACTAATATATATTTGTGTAACAAAACAGCCCCCTTTATTATTATTAATTAAATCATTGTTCTAAAAATCCCTGCCTAGCACCGCCTAGGCGCTAGGCGGTTGGTCACCGCCTCGATTAATGCCTAGACGTTTGAAAATTAAGAAATGACGCCTAGAGTTGCTGAGGCGCCGACCTAGGTTGCGACTCACTTAAACAGAAAATTTAACTTTCATTTTGCATTTTATTTTTTTCAATAAATTGTAAGAGACTTGTTGAATGCTTAAATGAATACACATTATATGCATGTTCCCCGTGTTTTAATTATGTTCCAATACTTTATAATATATATGTCATTCTATTTTGTAGTTTGGAATGAAATTATATATATATATATATATATTAAGTATAAACACACTTATTTACACAAAATATAATAGATTTACTTAAATCCGCCTAATCCGCCTAGGCGCTAGGCCCTAGCTCACCGCTCGATTAGCGCCTAGCGTCTTTTAGAACCTTGAATTAAATGGAATTCCAAATCAAGGAAACCCTAAACAATGCCGTTGAGCAGCAACAACAATACACCCAAGCCAATCTTGATATTAATCATATAAAAAATAATTATTAAATCAAATCATTTAGGCGCAAATAAATCTAGTTCTACAAATTATGGACTTGCGAAACCAAAATCTAGTTCTACAAATTTGACTATGTAGAATTCAAGGGTGAAAATAAGAACCTGCAAAATGGGACTATCGCATTTTCAACTTCCTGAGTCCAGAGAGAATACTCCATTTGCACAGAAGTGATGTGATGAACGGCATGAACCCTACTACTCCATTCCAATGTATCATATTATTATTCATACCATCTTTTAAAGCTAGTACACAATGTATCTTATTTTATGTAACAAGGACTACGTACAACTAGAGTTTCTTCCTTTTTGAATTTTAGTTTTAATTTTCCAGATTTTGTGTTTTTTTTTTTTCAATTTTATTTTATCTTTAATATTAGTTAAAATCCACATAAACATTCATGTCATTTAATGAATAAATAAGAACCATTGGATGTCATGTAATCAAAAGGCTTAAAGAAAGTGTAAAAGTATTTGTAAAAATATTTGTTCATTGATCCTATCCCTATATATATATATATGTATGTATGTATGTATGTATGTACAGAAGCAATGCAACAAAAGACAACATCCAAGTACTCTCTTAAAGATGAAGATCAATAATGAGGTCTGGCGATTCCTTAGAGGACATGGGACGTATCATGTGAAAAATTCTGCATAACAACGATCTAGAATGAACAGATGTCGTAGAGTCGTGAAAACACAGTTTTCTATTATACATTGGACCTTAGCCTCTATGAAATAATATTCCATCTAGTGTTAAACCACGATAGGATTGAGATTCGCATCTATAAAATGAAAGGACATATGATGATGAATCGGTTGTTAAAATCAGCAGTTGTGACATAACCCTTAGTGGACTGTCATGTGCTTGGAGGTTGAGGATCAAATATCTGCTTCGCTGGCCGACCCAATCTATATGCTTATCTGTCTTCTGATTCGTTTTGCAAATCCACGTCAGACTGTCCACTAATTAATCAGGACATGTCACGGACATGGGGGATAATGGGCGGATTAATAACTAATAATTTGTGAGGCCAAAAAAGTATGCGGTTCTCATCACTTTGCACATTTTTATTTAATTAATACATGTAAAAACGTTATCATTGTTACTTAGTATTACGGTATGGTGATATTCCACTTCACTTATAAGTGAGAGGTTTTAGATTCGGTTTTCGCCAAAAGCGAATTTAAACCACATTATTCCTAGTCTATTGTAAAGCTAAACCTATCTCATCTCCAAGATAATATCGTTTGTTCAGGAAAAAAAAAAAAAACGTCATCACCATTTTATGATTCGTTTTTTTTCTCTAGCCATTTTATAATTTGTTAGGGTTTGCTATTTGTGGTAACATGGGATTATTCCTCTAACGGTAGGAAACTCACTTCCCTTCCACTTCTCAAATCACACTATAACTTAAATAAATAAATTGTGGGAGAAAGTATAAACAAGTGTCCAAGAAAAAAGGTGTTTTCTTAATTAATTTGTTTTTTGTATGACAATAACATATTTTTCTTGGAAACTCTCTCCAACGGTAATAGGATGTCGCTAAATGGCACAAACAAATGTCCAATAACATATTTTGGCTGATTTGGTTGCTAAATGGCACAAACGATAGTCTGCCATATCATTACTGTAAAAAAAAAGCTACAGAAACATCAACCCAAAAATTTGAAAAAAGAAGCTGCTGTAATCTTTCAATTGATGGATAAGCTAACATAATTATAACTTAAAATTTAAAATTAAAATCAAATTATAAGCCAACAACAAAATTAGCAACCATAATCCAAATGGTTAATAATTCACCAACTCAAAAGTGTAACTCATATAATTGTCTAAATCCAATGTAGCAACCAATGCAAAAGCAAAAACAAAAAACTCAAAAGTCAAAAGTCTGATTGATCCCCTCGTTGCAATCTGAGAGAGGTCGTGCAAGAGTAGGAAAAAAAAAAAAAAACTGCAGAACGAGTGGGTTTTTATGTTTCAAGCCCTAAAATTGCAAAGTTGTGCATGTAAAAAATACTAAAAATGTATATTGGTTTGGTACGATATATCGAATGGTAAAAAAAATCCAATATCAGTGCTATACCATTAATAATTAGTTCGATAAAATGTCAACCGATAATGAAATCTTACCAAAACTCGACCACACCAATATAAACCGGTCGATACGGTTCGGTCAGTTCATCGGTTTATGACAATATTTTCCGGTTTCCACCCCTATCTTAGCTATCTATGTGCCTCTATTATCCAGTAAAGCCAAAGCATGAATGGGTCCCACCGTCCTGCGGCATTTTGATTAACGTTCAAGAACCGCCAAGCTATCTTAAACCACCCGTTTTTGCCTAACTTTCAGCCTGTGGACCTATGCACGGCTCACATCCCTCCACGCGTCCTTCCAAAGCAAGCACTTATTACCGTTTTCTGTTCCCCAATCAGATCGCGTCACGTATGCATTGAAGTTCAAAGCAGCCAGCAACCAGGCTTTCGTTTACGTGCGTTTCTTTGTGGGTGCAGTGAGTCGTCTGCGCCGAGCAGGGTCACTGACTCACTGAGTCAAAGGGACATCAGTACTCTGCATGATTCTGCTTTTGACTCGTCGCGAGTTACGACTCACCGGGTCATTTTGCACGTGCTGCACATTTCTTTTTTTTTCTTTTCTTTCATGCATTCCGAATATTCATGCGTTCGACAAATGAAACGTACATTTTTTTTTCTTCGGTAAGAGTAGATGATATACATAAACGCACTAAAACATCTTCTAATTCAAATAAGCATCAGACGATGAAATAGATAATATTGACTGGTTTACAACTTTCATTTCGTCAAAGTTACACAATTATTTAGCTATTAAAAAGAACAATACATATCACAAATCTAATTCACACATTTAGAGATAATATTTTATCTTGCCAACATTTCACAACGAGAAAAATTTCACCACCATGCTTGATCATGCTTGAAATTCCGATTTTCGAAAATATCTTGCAATATTTTAAAAATTTATAGCTCAAGCAATTACAAACATCATTACTGTATTTACAATTTACAGGTTTGATTCCTTATCCTCAATTATTGCTTTTGCTTGTAGCAAAAAATATCATGCCAAGTTTCGTTCTTTAGTGGAGCTCAATATTTCATCATCTTAAAAACGATGTGGGAGTTTTCCCAAAGCAAAACACTTCTTATTTTACGAACAACAATCTAGACTGTTGTAGGTAAGTGGAAGGGGTGGGGAGAGAGAGAGAGAGAGAGAGAGAGAGAGCAGAAGCAGGTCAGGGTGACCACTTATACTAAAAAGCCAGGCCCCATAGTCGGTGAAAGCGAAAACAGCACACAAAAATAGTAGGTGGGTTCGGTCCACATAATTCAAAATTTCCAATTAAAATTTAATCCTAATCTCTCACCATATATACCCCTTTACTCCTCGCTCCCTATGCCACACCACCACCTCTTCATCTCTCTCTTTTCCCAAAGCCCAAGACTCTGTTTTTCTCTGTCTCTCCGGACTGTGTGAAGCTTAAGCTTTATTAATGGCCAAGGACATGGAAGTTGCAGAGAGGGGCTCCTTCTCAGCCAAGGACTACCACGACCCACCGCCTGCACCGCTCATCGACGCGGCCGAGCTCACCAAATGGTCGTTTTACAGAGCTCTCATAGCTGAGTTCGTAGCCACTCTTCTCTTCCTCTACGTCACTGTGCTCACAGTGATTGGCTACAAGAGCCAGACCGACCCAGCTGTCAATGCTGACGCTTGCGGTGGGGTTGGGATTCTGGGAATTGCTTGGGCCTTTGGAGGCATGATCTTCGTGCTTGTTTACTGCACTGCTGGGATTTCAGGTCTGTTTTCTCTCCTGGGTCTCTCTGGTTTTATCTCTACGTGTATAATTAGTACAAAGTTGAAGTCTTTGACGTGGGGTTTGCTTGTAAAATACAGAAGTTAGCGAAAAAGTTTATCTTTTAAGTGGGTTTTCTGTATTTTTCTTGTATATGTATAATTTAGTTAAAAATATGAAGTCTTTGATGTGGGTTTGGTGTGATTTTGCTGCTACATAGAGAAGCCCGTTGAAAAAGCTGCTTTTTCTAATGTTGGTTTTGTGGGATTTTTCTTCTACATGCATAAATTGTTGAAAAAACTGCTTTTTTTACAATGGGTTTTGTAACTTTTGTTGAACAGGGGGTCACATTAACCCGGCGGTGACATTTGGGCTGTTCCTGGCGCGGAAGGTGTCGCTGGTGAGAGCTGTGCTGTACATGGTGGCTCAGTCGTTGGGAGCCATAGCCGGTGTTGCGCTGGTGAAGGCTTTCCAGAAGAGCTACTACATCAAGTACGGCGGCGGAGCCAACTCACTTAGCGATGGATACAGCACCGGAGTTGGATTGGCTGCTGAGATTATTGGCACCTTTGTGCTGGTTTACACCGTCTTCTCTGCCACTGACCCCAAGAGGAGTGCTAGAGACTCCCATGTTCCGGTACATACACACCCTTCATCTATAATTTGCAATTACCATTTCCTCCTCTATCGCAGTATATTTATAGATTTATTACAGAATAGTAATTGAAAAAATACATATAGAAAACAGGGGAGCTGATAAAATTAGAGAAAAAAAAGCTAGTTTCTTCAGAAAATTTGAAGGATCCACAAGCATGTCTCTTTTGGATTTAATTTTGCTTTCTTTATTTTGTAAAATTTAATTTTTGAGTGTGCTAGAAAATGCATTAATTATATTCTTTTTTCTTGTTTAGTACACCATTGACTTTATTTTTTTGGTTATGAACAAGTGCATTATTGGACTTATGTAAATACAAGGACTTTAAGCTTAATTTAAGAAATGGGACAAAATGGCCTCTATTTTTCTCCAACTTCTTGTGGAAAAATATACCCTCATTTAACCATCTTTAGTCTTTGGACAAGTTTAGGTGTCCCACACACAGGTCCACAACCACAAGTTTAGATGTTCTTAAACCATTCATTAGTGTAAACTAATCACCCTCAAATACCTAACTGATGTTAACATAATAGGATCCTATACTTGTTTTTCGGTGTTTGTATCGTGCTTATATCCAAAATCTTGAGTTTAACCGTCTCACGATACTCTTGGGGATAGTGCAACGGGTACAAGGCAGAATCTCGTCAAATATTAGATGTTGCCCTTCAAATTATTAGAACCAAAAAACTCTTTTAAGTCTCATGATGATATTGTTTGGAATAAAATTTCCTACAAGTGGTACATTGCCCTAGTGAAGTAGGATCTTCCTCTTCAGCAAACTGCGTTTCGAGTTCAAACCATCTCCTCTCTAGCTATTAGACGTTGCCCTTCAAATTATTAGAACCAAAAAACTCTTTTAAGTCTCATGATGATATTGTTTAGAATAAAATTTCCTATTGAGTAGGGTGAAAACAATGAGCTAGCTGGGCCAAATGTTTTTATCTGGTTGGCATTTCAGGGCATCATGCAGTGCAATAGATGCGGAGGGGTCACCTAATTTTGTTTTCTTTCAACAAGTTGATTCAACTTTTTCAAATTATTTTCTCTCTCAACTTTTCTCCTTTCCGTCATTCCTAACGTGCTCTGCCTTCTTCAAGTACTGTCATGACTCATGACTCGCTCGAGGTCTCGACGTCAATCTGTGGGCCCTTCACATTCCTCTTGAGGAAATCCTCTTTTAACCACTTCAACAGCCACTTGTTTGGTTATTGTTTAATAGTTACAACAAGAACAATAATAACAAAACCTTATTCTACTAAGTGGAGTTGACAGTATGATTCCTAAAACGCTATTACGCTTGGTTTTGCACGAAATCTTCCGTTGGCTCTAGGTACCTCCATATCTTTTTTTATAATGTCGTTCAAAACTTCCTTAGGTCTTCCTTTACCTCTTTTGCTTGAATTTCCGTCTCGTAGTCGCATCTTCTAACCAGAACATCCCCAAGTATTATTGTTTAATAGTTAAAAGTTGGATTAAGGCGTGATTTGTTTCTTGTGTTAACAGTCCCAAACATTTGATATGCTGAGTCAGGAATCAATGAAAGTTGTCTAATTTTGTTTTTATTTAGCCTCACAATCACGGGCATGTCTTTTTTGAGAACTGTTTTAGCCCATTTTCAACTCTTCCATCCTGTTCCAACGGTCCTGTTGTCAGATTTTATATATGTTTTCCAATTGTATGTATTCCCATCGAGGTTCTTAGTTATCTTGGGTTGTATATCTTTTCGTGTCTATCTCTTAAGTCATGTGACGAGAGATAGACAGGAGAATATACAATCGGTTACATGGTAGATTCTATCTCTCTCTCTCTCTCCCTCTCGTATTCTAAGAGGCTAAATTGTGGAATGTTGTGGAATTTTGAAGGTTTTGGCTCCACTGCCAATTGGGTTTGCTGTGTTCATTGTCCACTTGGCCACCATCCCAATCACTGGCACTGGCATCAACCCTGCTAGAAGTCTTGGAGCTGCTGTTATCTACAACAAAGACAAGGCTTGGGATGACCAAGTATGTACTCCAATATTAATTCTTCTTCACTTTTATGTTATCATTATTATGTAAGATACTCAGGAACACTGTAGAACTTTCACTAATTTATATTCTTGTTTACTTTTTTGTTGTTTGCAGTGGATTTTCTGGGTAGGACCCTTCATTGGAGCAGCAATTGCAGCCTTCTACCACCAATTTATCTTGAGAGCAGGAGCTGTCAAGGCCCTTGGATCATTCAGGAGCAACCCCCATGTTTAAATTTGAATATTTTCAGAGAATATGAAGGGATTTGGAGGAACAATAAGTTAATTATTAAGGGGGAAGTAGTATTTATATTAAATTGTGGCTTATGCTATGTGTGTGAAGGCTTCTTTTGCTCCTCTCTCAATTAAATTTCCATCAGAAAAAGGGGCTCAGAGGCCATGAAATTGTAGATATAGTCGGATTTTACCCTTTCTTTTCTTTTTACTGTTTCTGCAAGAACTTGCCTTTGAATTTACTTCAACGTCACTGTCATTTTCTCATGATTCTCCTTGTTTTCCTCTTTCTAGTCATATCATGCTTGAAGATAAATGCTTTTATATTTTTGGGGTCACTTTTGCTTGCTATATAATGGTGGCTCAATGAAGCTCAGTGGGTTGGGCATTGAAAACCAAAGGTATTCGGCCCAATGAGCTCCACTTGAAGCTGAGTGGGTTGGGCATTGAAAACCAGAAGGTGAATACTAGCTTGCATTTAGAAACCAAAAGGCGACTCCAAATCAACAAGACTTTTTCGAGGGTCAGGGAGGAATGGGTGGACTAGCGCCCTCGACCCTCGCAATATATTAAGGGAGGAAACATGGGGAGTTTGACATAACTCTCTAAGCGGTTGTAGTTGTAACTCTCTAAGCGGTTTTAAGGTTTCTTAATTTTTCTTTCTGAAATAACTCGTACACATCTTTACGTGTGGCGAAATGTGAAACTTAACAAATGAATTGTTTAATTGTGGGATCATCCAAATGCATAGGTGGCTAGGAGTATCTATTATTCATGCGCCTAGAGTATACCTCCCAATTGACTTATTCCTCCATGAGGAAACATGTCGTGTGAAACACACGTGAGCGTTGGGTTTAGATGTGGGCATTTTTGCTATGTTATCATTAAAGAAGTTGAGGTTATAATCTTGACACAATTGCCAATGAGAGCAAGTCTAGCGGAAGGTCAATTAGCAGGACAATTGGGTTAAATTGCCCCTTGTCCTCAAGAAGGTGCTCCAGCGGGTTTAAAAGGGGAGGCAATATGAGGTATAGGGTAGAAGCTCGTTAGCCTGCCCTGCCAATTGACCTTGAGCTTGACCCCACTGGCAACTACAGTGGCCATTAACGACATCACCCGCAATGCGAAGCTACATAGGGGCAAGGAGGGGCGGCCGCCCCTCCTCTTGTTGGAAAATAAGCCCAAGAGGGTGTAGCTGCCCCTCTTGTTAGTCGGAAAACCTGTAAGAATGTTCTGCAACTTATGGGTCTAATACACGTTATGGAGAGTGGGAAGTTACCCATCTGGCTCCCGAAAAACCCCTTCACCGAAGCCCATTTTACTCGCCCAAACTGCTCGAAACCGCCTTGCGAGGAAGGGCAAAACTCGAACAGCAACATTGGCTAGGTCAGGAAGAGGAAGAAGTAGCAATATTATAAAACAAATCTTAGCAATCGATGTCGTTTGGCTGAGCACTTAAAGTGGACGATGACGTTTTATTGAAATAGAACAAATCCTTTGACCTTTATGGCTCGCACGTCATTTGAACCCAAGCATCTCTAATTAATTTTTTTTATTTGTTCTGTTTGATGTTTTATTTATTTTTTTCTTTTATGAACTAGGTATACTTATCTATTTTTTATATAAAACATTTATCATACTTATCTAAAAATAATAACTATGCACATTGTTTGACGGACATAGATCATCTCCGGATCTGAGCCTAGGCATCAATAGATCCGGGCCATTGAAATTTGATCTAACGGCTACATACAGGGGGCCTCCCTAAAAATTATAATAACTGTAACCGTTGGATCAAATTTCAATGACCCGGATCTATTGATCCCTAGGCTCAGATCCAGAGATAGGCTCAGATCCGGAGAGGATCTGTGTCCTTGTTTGACGACTATAATAACTACAATTTGTAAGTGGTGTTTTGCATTAATTGTTTAATTGATATAGAATTAGCGTAATATGCTTTTTATCTATTTTGTTTCTATTGTACAATTACGTAATGTATGTAACGATACTGTAAAAAACAGTGCTTAAATCATTCTTCAAATATTCTGGGTACAACGGATAGTCCTTCTTCGAATATTTCTAGATAATCTTTCTTCGAATATTTTGGTTACTCCAAATCCTCATTCGAGTATTCCAGGTAGTTATGAACGACATTAATATTGTTTACTATGTACAAGGATTTGGTTGTCTACATTTTTTCTGAACCTTTTACGCTTTTAAATTTCGCCCCTCCTGCCGAAAATTCCTGGCTTCACCACTGCCAGCAGACAGCCCCCGTCGCCTCCCCCAACAACCAGAAAGGCTCCAATTTGTAGCAATCACAACCGTTGAATTTCCAACTGTCCTTTTGAGATGGGCCGTTAATTTTCAACAGTAAAAAAATATTTTAAAAATTCAAAAATGATCCAGCTCCTAATAAATTTATTTATTTATTTTTATTTTTGAATTTATCGATACAAGACAATTTTCTGAATCCTCACAACTTTCTAGAGGTGACGAATTGACGATAATCTTTGCACATAATCTTGCAAATTATGGGGAGGCCAACCCTAATCAGTGGAAATATTATATGAAACTGGTTGACAAAGTGATCTGCTCCATTTTGTGCGTTGGATATCAAACTGGAAATATTATAAGAAAAGATATCAAACTGAAGAATGGAATATATAAATAAAGAAAATGTGTGCACGCTTCTATGATTGCTTCTGCTAGCACGGCAAACAAGTCCAATACTTCAAAGTCAAGCAACCACCGTCCCTCATTCTGAACTCACTCTCACTCTCACTCTCACCCTCACCCTACACCACCAAAGGAACCTCCCTCTGCAATTCCATATAGCAACCACGGCCGCGGCCACTTCTTCTTCAAACTTCAACTGCAAAAGTTACCAAGAAGTTAATCAAATTTACTTATGGCACCCATCACCAGCCTCGTCTGCTTCGTTCTCACTCACTTTGGTTTTCTCTGGACACCCACATTTTTTCAAAATTTCAGGTATGAAATCCCCATTGAGCTTGAGCGAGGTACATTCCGAAGTTACAGGTACGAAAATCCCCTCGGTCTCTCTCCCTTGGGTTTTGGTTTTGCACACCCTGTACTTGCAACCCTTATGTAATCTCATCATCTGCAGCTACCTGCATTTAATTGTTGTTCAAACTTAATCAAGACCATATATATATATATGTATATGTATATATAGATACACGCACACACACATGCGATCATATGTATGTATGTTGAAGGAATCAAAGTTCGACATGACCGGCTACTTTTGATCTCGTTCGATGAAGTGATCATGAAGGGCATGGTTTGGTTCTGGAGCTGCAGATGGTGTTCTGGTCATGCCAAACATTATTGTATAACATATGAATGTATTGTACATATGTTTTGTTATGCATCGTCCATGATCAGGAGAATTAGTCTGTTGTATTGGATACGCAGCAGGACATTCGCTTATGTTGTTACTAAATTCTCTAATCATTTTAACTTGTAAGTTTTTTTGCGGGTGTAGATAGTTTGGGATTGATTCTCTAATAGGTCGTTTGTTTAAGGGAAAACTCAAGGCCAAATTTATTTTCAGTTTTTAAAAAAGTGAAAACTAAAACTAAAAAAAAATAAGAAAAGGTTATTAAACGGCCGAAATGTTTAAATGAAATGTCTAAATGTAACAAGTTTGAATGAACATAGATGACCTTTATGGTTTAAGCATAAGGGGTTGCCTTGAAGAGAAGCAATTAGAGCTAATTTCTACACTCTACCCTCCTCTATTTCTACACTTTATCTGATATGACGGACCAAGTCATTCCACATCACTGTCAAGTCTACTTCATCGTCTTATCCCATCTTCGTTGGTGCACATTTTCAACCAGGATGACCTTCCTTGTACCCCTTCAACCTAAGTTCGGTGTAGTGTGGACGGGGTGACGCTTTTGTAATCGTTGTTGTGTCCCTCTTCATGTATTCCACCCCCTCCCCCACCCCTCCCTTTTTTTCACCGTTTTTATCTGTATGCTTTATTTATGTCTCTTAGTTTGCCTTTCGTAGCTTTCGGCGTTCTCTTGACTTTTGTCTTGATAATGAAATTTTCAATTTTTTTTTTAAAAGGGCCCAATTGCAAATTACTCAAACTCATAATTTACCAATAAGCCAAACTCGGAGTATTTCAATTGTGTAGGGTTTGCAATTGCATTAAATAAGATACAACGTTGCGATAGAGCACATTTCATATCATACATAAAGTATCTAGACACTTACTTTTAATTCTAAGGGAAATTCTCTTGTTTCAATCATAAATTATTGCATGGTACTGGAATGCCATTAAAAGATATAATTATTTCAATTTTTATAATGTGTTGCTTGGTATTGAAATTATTTCTACCCATATCATAATACGCAGATTAGCTATTACATAATTGTATATAATTTTTTAGTCATAATCAAAATAGAATCATTTTTATTCATGGGCATAATCTAAACTATTCTTCTTATTTACAAGGAAAGAAATTTGAACTCAAGTACAAAGTTAATCAAGTGATAAATTAACTAAAATCTTGAGAAATCAACAGAAATGGAATAGCTTCTCCTCCATTTTAAGAGAAAATATTAATCTAACAAAATTATATTAAAAAAATATCTAAGAAATTTATATTAAACAAGAACAACGTAATTGCTCTCCATTTTAGGAGAGATATTAAACAGAGAATTAAAATTTGTTTTATTGGAAAAAAAGGAAAAAAAAGAAAAAGAAAAAGAAAAGAACATGAACGTGTCTCCTCCATTTTAGGAGGATATATTAATATCTAACAAAATTATATTAAAAAAAAAATTAAGAACCAACGTGGGAGAAAATGGGTAGAGGTTGTCATCAGTTTAAAAAGAAAACGGTGATGTTCTCCCACTACCAAGCAGTAACTCCCCAGTTCCCACGTATATTCCCATTTTTTCCGTTGTGGCTACAATATTATTATATGTACTCCCCATCTCCTCCGATTATGTGGCCAAATCTTATACTCCTCGTTTTTTTGCTCTGCCTTCTTCACATGCGATGCTATTTGAATTAATTTGGTGAGATTCTTGACTCAAAAGGCTTTTGCCAACCATTCATATCCATCTTCTGTGAAATCTTGGTGCTTTTTATTTCAATTTTCTTATTCTTTCTTCCTCCTTTTTGTTATAGGGTCAAGATGATTCTATTAGGCTCCATCGTTCAAAGGTTTGTGTAACATCTCACATCGCTCAGGGGAGTGATCCTTATATGTATATTCTCATCTCTACCTCGTACGAGGCCTTTTGGGAGCTCACTGGCTTCGGGTTCCATGGGAACTCCGAAGTTAAGCAAGTAGCGCGCAAGAGCATTCCCAGGATGGGTGACCCATCGGGAAGTTCTCGTGTGAGTTCCCAAAAACAAAACTGTGAGGGAATGGTAAGCCCAAAGCGGACAATATCGTGCTACGGTGATGGAGCGGGCCCGGGAAGTGGTCCCTCCCGGGTCGGGATGTGACAATTTGGTATCAGAGCCTAACCCTGGCTGTGGTGTGCTGACGAGGACGTCGGGCCCCTAAGGGGGGTGGATTGTAACATCCCATATCGCCCAGGGGAGTGATCCTTATATGTATATTCCCATCTCTACCTAGTACGAGGCCTTTTGGGAGCTCACTGGCTTCGGGTTCCATCGGAACTCCGAAGTTAAGTAAGTAGCGCGCAAGAGCATTCCCATGATGGGTGACCCACTGGGAAGTTGCCCCATGATGGGTAACCCACTAGGAAGTTGCTCGTGAGTTCCCAAAAACAAAAATCGTGAGGGTGTGGTCGGGGCCCAAAGCGGATAATATCATGCTACAGTGGAGTTGAGCCCGGGAAGTGGTCTCCCCTGGTTCGGGATGTGACAGTTTGAGTAACTTTGGGTAAATCTCAATTTAAATTTACCTTTTCAGTTTTTAGGTTTTTTTTTACAATTTATCTTTTAGGTGATGAATTTGATGCGCTCTGCTGCAACTTTGAGGATGTACATATGAGTTTGTATTTAGTATTTCTAAGTCAATTTTAGTTTTTTTAACTTCTTCATTTGAAATCTTCATTGTGCGCTTTTTAAATTTTGGTTAGATTATGAGTTTCAATTTTGATTATCTTAATGTGCTATACGTGTGCTATGGTAATTTAAAAAATTATTTGTTTTCGTTCTCAGGATATCTACAAGAATGCCCACAAAAAATGAAGAAGGAACTACCTATTGATAAGATCCCAAACAGACGTGTCTCTATTTTTACACCTAGGTGGGAGATATCTGTCGGAGTAAAAATTACCGATCTAAGCCAACTGATTCTCAAAGAGTGGAAAAAGAAGAAGCATGAGCAATATGTATTCTAAATTCTTTATTAAATTTGTTACAATAAATTTTAACATTATATATACCTTCAATATATCATGAAATCATATCGTTCTGTCCTGTTGAAAATTTAATGCGTTCGGTTAAAATCAAATAGCATTATTTGTAATTGAATTGCATTAAAAGTTGAAAAAGGGAATTAAACATTAAAAGAAATAGACAATCGGATGACACAGCTCATGAAATAGACAATCGGATGAGAGAAACTGAAATACTAAATAGAGATGTGGTTGAAAAAATCCAACAAATCTTGAATCAATATAATGCATTTGTGCAAACATTTCACCACCTTGCGCAACGTCAAGATTTGCAAAGTTGTAGGTTGATTATCAAGGAGCAGCCCGTGAATCAATGACAATATTGTTTACCGTCTGCATCTCAGGTTGCTGCAATCATAGTAGGTGGTGAAGGATTAGAAAATATTAGAGGTCAAGATATTATTGTGCAAACTACAGATGGTCAACTTAAGAGTATCAAAGACTGTGTCGGCTACTATGACCCTTTACAATATCCATTGTTGTTACCTTATGGAACGTATGGATGGGATGTAAATACTCAAAATAACGACAACAGAAAAGTTACATGCTGTGACTATTATTCGTATGTTCTTCAGGTAACCTAAGACCTTCATCTCTACCAATACAATATTAATTTTTAAAACTTTTATTGTGTTGAACAATGAATTTTATCATTTTAGATTCGTCAACACGACGAATCGCTTCTACTTCATGGTGGCTGCTTATTGTAGCAATATGTAGTTGACAACTACGTAAAGATCGAATCACAAAAGCTTAGATGGATGAGTGATAATCAACACACAATAATTTATGACCGCATAATATACAATGAACAGATGTGATTTAAGCTGGTATAACTTGTTAGGATGATTATTTCAACAAAGCTCCGTGGAGTCGAAGATAGAGCAAACCTACATCTAATTAGACAAATATTACAATAAAAAATTAGTTCAAGCACGCACTCTTATAAACAAAGTAGCAAAAGCTTGATGAAAGGCAAGTGTTAAAGTTCATGGTTGCGATGACTATAGTTGCTGGAGCTGGTGATAGTACTGAATCATAATGTCTTATGTGAAGTTGAGATTATTGTAGCTGTGTAATTAAGAAATTAAGTAACAGATAGGTTTATGTTTAAAACCTACTTTATGAACTTTTCTGTTCTGCACGTTGCTCGCTAGGGTTTTGTTCCTTTACATGTGGTTGGTTTGTATACTTTGGTTACCCCTATGTTTACATTTGAAACAAAATTCAATGAGCAAAACGTAGGAAAAGTAATTAGTATGAAATTCTTCAATGGAAATTTAAATTGCAGAAAAAACCTTGGATTTTCCAAACTGGTGGAGTGAAGAAAGAGAAAGGAGAAGTCACTGAGAATTATCATTTCGTTGATCCGTTTAGGATTTCGAGAGCGAGGGAGGTCTTCATCGCAATAATTTTATTGCCGTCACTATAAATCGAAGCATAAACCCTACAGACTGCTATTACACGTAGGAGGGATTACATACAAATTTGTGCTTTGAAAAATTTGGCAGTGAAATTCTTTTTCCATAAAAATTGATAGGAAAACAGGTGACTGAATAGAAGAAAGAAAAAAGGGCAATCACATATTCAAAAGGAACACGACATTAACGTACCTTCGTTAACCTTGTCATCTTCGAGCTTCAGGAACTGGAATTGCATTTACTCTAAAACCAAATTGCAATGAAAACCCAATGAGGCGAATCACTGACCAAAACCTTTTTTTTGATGGATGAAACTTTAATAAACAAAGTAAGATAAGGAGAAAAAGATACCTGGTTGAATCCGTTAATCAAGCAACAATATACCACTCCACCTATCTCTTCCTCCACTTTTCGCAAGAACGGTTATGCTCGTCTTCATCAACCTTTCCATCCGCTCCCTGCAATATGTTTGTATATGTTTCAAAATCAAAATGCAAGATAAAAGAGGAGAAGTAGACACCAAAAAAAAAAAAAAAAAAAAAAAAGAGAAGAAGAAAAAGTAAATAACACAATACAAAATACCCAATAGGCTGAGACAATTCAGTTTATAAGTGGTGGAGAAACAGATAAACCAAATGATAACTGCTTATAGCAATTTCAAAGTGGGGAGTTTAAAACTGACGACAACTGCAACAGTTTTCTCTATCTCTACCCCTCTTCTTCCACGTTGTCTTTTTATTTTCTTATTTTTTATTATATATTTTTGTATATTATCTGTCTCTAAAAATGGAGGAGTTTTGACACACCCCGACCCAGAAAGTCCACTTGGATCCTGAATCGAGCTGTGCTGGCTGATACCTGGAAGGTGACGAAGCCATAAAATGTGATAGAGTGTATAAAAATGTGAATAATTTGAACCTAAAAATTTTAAATACCAGAGTGCGTTGTGAGCGAGAGTGAACTCATTTCACACACGATGTCAGAGCATAAGTAAGGTACAGGAGTGTGGGTAAGAATCATACCCTCAGAAGTATCCATCAATACTAAGATTCACCACAAATCCTTATCGATACAAACTCAGCAACTAAAACCTGGAGGGCACCAAACAGAGAGTGTGAGTGAGCAATAAAACCAAGCATCCCAAAGTTATTACCTCTCTAAAAGTAATGTCCCTCAATGTAAAACCCGTATCATTTCCCATAAGACAATACAACATATATACATATATCCAAACCATACTTAGAAATGGCCAAAACCACGGTTTGCCATCAACTCCACCATGCATTAATAAGTAGGCCAAATGAACTTAATCAATACAAAATGATATATCAGTCGGAGTCATCTAATATGACATGTACAACTTATCCATATCTCATCAATCATGGCTAGCATATAAGTCGGAGTCACCTCTTGTGACCTGTACGACTTATCCATATCTTATCAATCATGGCTAGCGTATAAGTCGGAGTCACCTATAGTGACCTGTACGACTTATCCATATCTCATCAATCATTCTAGCCAATAGCTCAATAAGTATACCTACACACGAGTCGGAACCACCTAAAGTGGTCTGTACGACAAGACTGGGTGTAAATAAATACGCTCAAGTGCTACGATCACGTGAAGACTGTGCGAATAATCGCGGGTCACCTACTAGTCGGAACCACCTAAAGTGGTCTGTACGACATGACTGTGCACCTACCTTGGATCCAAGATGAGCGTAAGGTGCGGGAGGTGAACATCACGTAAAGGACTGTGCTCTGGCCACGGGCGGGAGCACTAACACCGGGGTGCAGGTTTATGAGCTATAATATATCACAACACAATCATACTCACTAACATCACTAACATCAACATGTACTCACCTGAAGCTTACCTGGCCGTCCGCAGCGTCATATAGCGCTTCAAAGCATTCACAATAGTTAGGTTCAGGTAATATCCATATGAATATGCCATGATGCAATCTAAACCCAAACATTTCATGATATTCCCAAAATATATAATACGGCGTAACATGTACAATTAATAACACCCTACTCCTAAACTATTTACTTTTGAGAGTAATCATCAGTGATAAGCCCAATTAGACCCTAGTTACATTAACTATCATTACTTACCTTTCCTTACTTCAATTTCTTGATTCTTCACGCATTAATTTATGATCAACATTTAATCACCAAATCAGCTAAATCTCACACTTCCCACCAATGTCCCTCACATTGCTCAATTCACTAAATAAGGCTATTGTCTCAATTATTTAATCTCATTTATTATATGGCTGCATCTAACGTCTTGTTAGACTGCCTACGTACCTTAAACAAAGATTAAGCCATTCGTAGTTCGCAATGATTAATTGTAGGTAACAAGCATAAATCACTATAGAAGTTCTTGTGTAACTATCAATTATATGCCTATGAAAGAAAAAGACCCACTCACCTGGAGTCCACGCTATGATTATCTTGCACGCACATCGAGACATCACGATCTATCGTCGCATGTGACCAATTAGCAAATTACGTCTCAAAGTTCTTACCGATAGAAAACATAATTTACATAAAACATATCCTCAAGGACCTTCAAGAATAATTTGAGACCCATTAACCAAAAGTCAACCGTCGATCAAAGATCGACGGTAGGGTCTACAACCCTGTATAACTCGATTTGGAAGATCCACTTATCAGATTTCCAATCCGTAACTTCTAAAGATCCACATTATACTTCAAGAATAACATATTAAAATTTTATTACGATCCAACGGTTGGATCCTCGCCAATTCCCAAAACTGATTAGCGGTTAACGTTTTATTTTATGAATTTACAAATCTAATTTGGAAAGATCTGTACGTCAGATTCCCAATCTGTAAGTTCCAACATTCTTCAAATATTATGTACTACAATGTAACAAAGTTTGGTGACGATCCAACTGTTGGATCGGCTATTCACATAAATACCTATTAACATATCGTAGAGAATTTAGGTTCCAACGATCAACCTACATCATTCAAATATCAAGACTAAATTCAAGACATTCGACATAGCCTAAAAATAGCATTGGCAGCCCACTGGCCAAGCGCCGCTGCACGCGCCGCCGTAGGTGGCGGTCGGCCGCCCCGACTCGCAGGAAAATCCAACTATTTCCAAAAATTCTCAAACTTCACAGAAATGAAGATCTCAGTGAGTAGAGCAACTTTCATAACTGCCACGAAGTCCAAAAGTGGACGGAAGATGGTCAATATTTCCCACAAAGCCGGCGGGTGCCTAAAACTTCCCGACGTCGATTGGTCGTCTACGGTGGTCCAATGGGGTCAAGGTTGGTTGGGTTTTGCTCCTGGGATGATGGGATACAAAGCCCAAGTGGTGGCATTGGCCATCGCTTTGCTGATTTGCCGGAACATTGAAAAGAGTGGCCGGAGCACTATTGATTTTCTTCAACTTTCGTGGCATCCAACCGCCACATACCATGGTTAATCAAGGTGGTTCTTGGGTGATTTTTGTAGAGGGGAATGAGAGCTTCAAGATGGTGGTGGTGGCGTCGAAAAACTCTATCGGAGTTGGCCGGAATCGGCCTTGGAAGATGAGTGGTCGTGGAGGTGTATGGACGGAAACCCACGGGAAAAGCTCGCAGCTTTCCCCACCCACCCCCCCCCCCCCCCCCCCCCCACCAACTCTTTTTTTTTTTTTTTTTTTTTTTTTTTTTTGCTTTTCTTCCTTTTTTTTGATTTCTCACTAGTCCTCCATCCCTTTTAATTTGATTGGTCCCTTTTTCCTCTTTACTTAAGGTTGATTAGTTAGTCTTGCCACAAGGTGGGAGTTCAAATAATTTAACTAGATTTAAATAACCAACTTCAAACGTCCGTAATTATACCGTTATAATTCGGACTCGCAAACAGCTATCGCCTATGCGTTCGTAGTGACAAGTACTACGAGGATATGCTAAAAGAATAAGTCATATGTCACTCTAACCGATAATCAATAGAAGTCAAAGTCTTTGCCTCTAGGGCATTTTCATAAATTCACGCTTCTAAAATTAATAAAAATGTAAAATTTGGAATGGGTTGTCACAAGTTTGATCAGCACGTTCCTTTTTATTATCTGTTTTTTTATGTTTATTTTAAATAAAACAAATTTAAGTTTTTGACAAAATTGCCCTTGCATTTTTTTATGTATCAAATTTGATCAGTTTTAGATTTTTTTTGTTTGGGGGTGTTTTAGTTCAGAAATTTTTGGTGAAGCCTTGTGACACCAAAGTAGTCTTCTGGCTTTCTAATATTAGAGATTTACAAGGAAAGAAATTTGAACTCGAGCACAAAGTTAATCAAGTGATAAATTAACTAAAATCTGGAGAAAACTCAATAATCGCATTTTCACGGAAATTTATATATACTAAAACCCAAACCGGGTGGTACTGTTCTATAACAGTGTTTTGACGTAATTGCCCTTCGCTGCTGCTCAGTCTGAGGCTTTTTTCCCTGCTTAGAACAGTGAATTTACAGCTTTGCCCTCATTTGGTCCTATCTGCTGCTTATGCTTTGTTTGGACTTTATTTCATTTTTTTTTTAATGGGCTATGTTTGTTTTTGCTGCAGTTGCAGCACAGTTTTGTCAAGCCCACGTGTTGATCATCGCGTGGTGCTTTGATGTTGTTGTTAGCTTTTTGCACAATAAAATTACACCAGTGCTCTTTGTTGGTTGTCTTTGACGGAATTGGACTGCATTTCACTTTTTTTTTTTGTGGTTGTGTTTGTATTTGCTACAGCTGCAACACAGTTTTGTCAGGCCCACGTGTTGGTCATCGCATGGTACTTTGTTTTGGTTTTGTTTTGTTCCGTTTTGTTTCCTCTCATTTTCAACTTTGCTTCACTATCGCTTTCACCCGTTTTGTTTCCCTCAAATTTTCGTGCTGTTGCTTTCAGTCGGTGTTTTGTGAGATTTTGCTGCCTGTGGTTGCTCGGAAAATACGAAATCAATATAAGGTTTTTATTTACACCCTGCGAAGACATCTGTGTTTAAGGTGACGAGTTTTGAAATTATGTGCTTTTAATTCGAAGGATAGTGTGCTTGCTTATTGTTAATTATTTTTATTTCATTTTGAATTTGTTAGTTTATCTTTTGTGCATCTGAGTATATGATTCGATGTTTTAGACTGGATTTTTGTGGTTTTGAGTTTGTGGGTTTTTTTTGGGTGCGTGAGAAGATGTTATCCAATGGTTTCATTCAACATTTTTCCTCGATTTGTTGCAACTTTGATGTCCCTGTGCCCCTTTGTCAAACTTTGTTTTCTGTTTTTTTATTTTTTCTGTGTTGCTTTTGTAAAATTAAAGTGGGAGTTTGACGGATGTTGATGAATCCCGCAGTTTATCGGCAAAGAGAACAACAACTTTTGTAATGTTTTTAGTCATTTACCCACATATTCATAAAGTGGTGTTATTTTTATGGAGGATGGTTATTAATCTTTTTGTATTGTTAATTTCGCAGCATGTGGGTTGCTCGGAGACCACTGGGTTATGCTTTTGTTCACTTGGATCACGGTACAGATGCAGAGGATGCAATTGGTGAATTAGATGGTATGTTTAGTATTTGGCTATTGATTTTTAATATGGGGTTTTCTTAGTTTATATCATTCGAATCCAGCATAAGGGAGAAAGATAAGTTCATCGGTAGCATTGTTTGTGAAGCAGCATAATTAGATGGTATCTATTTTCAAATGCATATTTCAAAATCTTCCTTATACAACCTCTGATTTTTCACAAATTATACATGTTCAACTAGGTCTAGGTTTCTTCTTTATATAATGCAGTTGTCACCTTCGTTGGAACTTCTTCACTTTTTGACATGTGAGATATCTCAATCAAAATAATGCTCATCATATAACATATAATTTAGTAGAACAATATTGATATTGTTGCTTGAGTTGTGAGCATTCTGTTTTCCTCTTCTAGAATTGTGACTTGCGATCTTGCTTTTTATGATTCACTGTTTTATTCTTTATGTCAATCCTTTACTTCTGCATTGATGGGTAACTCTTTGGTTTTGTTTTTTGTTGAGCTTTTTAATTAGCCCAGGCTAGCTGTCCATTCCTAATGGATGGGTTTGGTTTCTGCATTAAAAATGTAGTTTCTAACTATGACATCTAAGAAAATTAGTCTTTTTTTTCTCCTTTTCAGCTTATTAAACATGATTTGCTAAGTGTTTATGTTTTTAATTTGTCTGTTTGCAGTGTGGGAAAATTCTTATTATCTCCTTGACTCTACAGTTTACTGCCTGCAGACGTGTTTGACGTTTTGTTCCGCTTTTGGTAAGTGATGTTTGTTCTTTGTAATATGTGGTTTCTTTTTGAGTCTTCCCCTTTGAATCATTGATTTGCTGCTTTTATCAAACGTTCCCTATTTGATAATAATGTTAATTCAGGTTTAACATCTTATATTATTTTTGAACTTAAATAAGTTCACAGTATTAGATTGTTAGTGGGGGTTCAATTCAATATCACAATGCAATGTGCTTTGTTCTACAATTGTGTTCAAACGTTTTGGATTTCTTTCTTTATCTATAGATTTGCATTAATATTGTTTGTTGCCAAGTTAGTTGTCTTCCGTGCACATCGATATATAAAGTTTGAGATTTAGGTTTTCAATCATGTGATCCTCAAATGCTTTATTAATTAGTTGGTTAAATGTCTGGTGATCATTTGGGACTATAGAATATTAAATTTGTTGTCAATGCTTTGAAATTTAGATGAGTACCATGGATACCTGATTGTTTCAAATTTGTGTTTATTTCCGCTTCACATTAATGTAAAGTTATATTTATGGAAGGAAAAAAAAACAACAGTTTACATCCATGCCACCTGACAGACATAGTTGTTTTTTATTTATTTCTTAACTTATTAAAACTAACTTAGTAAGTGTTTTTCTTTTTGGTTTATGCATTTGCAGTGTGGGAAAGTAATTGATTATATCTGCTTAACCCTGCTTTTCCCTTTTGGGACAAGTGCTTCAAATTTTGTTGTACTTTTGGTAATTGATTATTTGGTTTCCTCTTTAGTTAGCTTTTTCCAACTATTGTTTTACTGCTTTCATAATGTGTTAGGTGTTTTATAATAGTTATTTTTTGTCATATGTTAATTTCTGATCATTTGTTTTACTATCCTAATATGAAATGTATTTTTTTTTTTTGTCAAATTTAGTTCTTTAATTACTTTTGGTTGGCTTATTTCTTTTCTGAGTCCTTTTTATTTTTGGAATTTCGAGTTTATGTAGTGGTTATCGGTTTTGTAATAGTTATGTTAAAATTATTTTAACCATTTATTTAATTAGGAATGAAAGAAATCAATCATTTCTTTCATATTTGTTTACAGATTTGTGTTATACTGATTCTTATCTTTATAAAATTTATCTCTCTTTTAACATATTCAATGGAAACAATTGAGGTCACCCCTATTGCAAAATTGCGTCCTTACACTAAAGCGGAGAAAATAAAGATTTGTGTCTGTAGGATATGGAAATCTAGCATTTCTGCAACTGTTCGCAAATACGTTACACTACAGTGTATCTTGGTTGATGAAACAGTAAGCCATCATTCTCATAATTCAAATTAAGTACTTTAACAGTTATAGTTATGTAGTAAGTTTTTTTTTATTTTTCATTGTTAGTTTGTTAATTTATATTTATGTTTATATATATATATATATATATATATATTTTTTTTTTAACAGTTTCATTTTTTAACATGTCTAAAGTGTTTTGTAAATCTTGGTTATGATAGTTGACATATTTTCAGTTAGTTTATTTACCCACTGTGCTCATTCAATCTCTCTGTACCAAAATATAATGTTTTTCACTATTTACTTACTCATAAGTCTTTTAATTATGTTATTATTCTTTTGTTTTTTTGTTTTTTTTCTTAATATGGCATGTGATCAATTACGAAGAACAATGCGGTTGAAGCATCTGCGTCAGACATCGATTGTGAACTGGTAGCCTCAAAGATTGATGCTGGTAGTTGTTACGAAATCATGAATTTTCGCACGATCAACATCAGAGGACAGTATAAAGTGGTGCCGCATGAAACCCAGGTTATATTCACTGGTACAACATTGTTTAAAAAACTGTCTACCGTCTTTCCACCCATCCCTCGACGTAGGTTTTTCCTACTAGATTTCAACATGCTCTATCCGCGTCTGAACAGAGATGATATTCTTGCAGGTAACATCAATACGTGTGTATTTGTCTATATATATATATATATGTGTGTGTGTGTGTGTGTGTGTGTATCTACATGTTCATCAATTAAAAACATTTCTGTTATTTTTTCACTGAAATGAGTTTTGACATTATTTTTGTATTAACTTTTTAAATTGTAAGATGTGATTGGCCATATAACTGCGGTCCAGCAATTGGAATCAAAACAGATTAATCAAAGAATAGTGCAGAAGTGTGATATACACATTGAGAATATCAGGTTGTTCTTTTCTTTAACTGTTGCAATTCCAATTTGTTAATATCATTTTCTCTGTTAGGCTGGGAAGAAAATTTAGTGTTTGTTTCTCATTTGTTTTGTGCACAGAAAAGAAGAATTATCTGTTACATTGTGGGCAGATATTGCAGAAGCTTTTTGTTCTTTATCGATCCACAAGTTGTCTTTGCCGATTATTGTTGTATTTACAAGTTTAAAAGTCAAGATTTACCTAGGTAAGCTCATCTAACTAATACCCATTTTTTCTGTCTTTATTTAGATATGTTCTTACATTTCTTGCTGTAAACTGTTCCACTATTTTATCATTATGGAATTTTAGTGTATTTGATTGTTACTCTTTAGGACAAAATTTTGATGTCTTATTTTTTTTCTTTCTTATTTATAAACTGTTAGAACCTGTTTGTTACAGTTTGTATTTTGTTTCTAGCATTACATGTTCAAATTATTTTACCACATTTTTATATGCATCCATTACAATATTTTCCTCACATTTAAACATCTATCATCCAATTAAAAACATTTACTCATCTATCATATTTGCTAATATTTGTTTTACAATTCTGTTATTATTTTTTACCATCGACAGAGAACATCGTCTTGAATAGTACTGGCTCCTCCCTTTTTTTCATCGACCCAGACATCCCGGAGGTTAACTCATATAAATCAATGTCAGTGCACTTCTAAAATCGTCATTCCTGTTCAAACCTCTAAACATGCTAATTTTTCAAAATTTCTTATTTTCTTTTTAAACTTGCAGGTTCTCAACCTGTAAAGTCCCTGTAAAAATACTGCCTCCTTCTTCAAGGCAGGCAAATGAAGCTGAAATTCTGCGTACAGCAAGAAGAGTAACAATAGATGAGCTGGCCTTTTTGGATCCTGATTTGTATAAGGTATACAAATGATTTATGCTTTTCTATCTTTTTTTTTTTTTTTTTTTTTTTTTTTAAACATTTACCTTGATTTTTACATATTGAACAGAAACTAATTTTGTTGTTGCTCTTTTATGACACACGTGTCATAAAACATGTGACAGAATGATACATTCCTATGTAAAGCATCTATCAAACGTTTTGACACACGTTATGATTGGTGGTACAATGCTTGCCCTAGCTGTGCCAAACAAATGCATAAGAACCCGTCGACTGGACAACTCATCTGTCAGAAACACCCCAACCAAATTCCAATACCATGGTAACATTCAATATGCAAGTTTGTTATTCTGTCTTTTTTTACTTTTTCTACGATTTTCAATTCCATGCTGTTTCTTTCCAACTAAAAAATGACTTCAAATCTGTAACCTCTGTTCTTTAAACTTCTTTGCTCTGATTGTTAACAATGAGTTATAAACCATAAAAAAAAACTCATGGAATTCAATTTTTAAATATAGGTACAAAGTTAATTTGATTCTTGAAGACAACACTAATGAAATTAGTGCTTTGATAATTGGCAAAGGTGGAGAAAAACTCTTTGGTATGCCCTGCAAAGATTTGGTCATGAATCAGAGATTGATTGACCAACAACAACTGCCAAATGAGTTTTTGCGACTGATTGGACAAAAGAAGATTTTCCACTTGCGATTCGGAAATAGAAAAAATAGTTTCAACTCAAGTGACGTGTTGGTTTACAATGTGTCTAATGATACAGCTATAGAACCAATAACTCCACAAATCTTACCAAGAGCAGTCACATTATCTTCCACTACTGTATTATCTTTGACCTCACCACCTGAAACAAGCGGAGAATCACATAAACGAAAGAGGGAGTCTGTGAGGAAAGCTCTTTTTACTGACAGTGAACAGAGGTATAGATTCAAACTCCATAGTATCATAAAATCTGATACTTTTATTTTACTTCCCTGTGTTCAAATATTCATATGTTCTGGCTATCTTGCTTTGCTTAATATATACCTGTGAAGAATCTTTTTTTTTTTTTTTTTTTTTTTTTTTTTTTAAAGACACAATTTGAGTAAAGAGACACGAATTATAGTTAGACAACATTTTCTATGTTTTATCCAATAAAATGTGCTCATCACTCATGGTCATTTAAAACAGTGAAGCAGAAGAAATTTCAGAAGTTGACCCAAAAGAATTTGATGAAATACCTATCAAATTGCTGAAAAAAAATCCACCTCCAGCTTCTGCAAAAACAGATAGTACCTCCAAAAATTAACTGGGTCAGTATGGTTCCATTTTGCTAAATTCTTTGCTTCAAAACTGCTCAGCTGCGAACTTAATCACTATCTAAATGCCTTGCATTATTTTTCTCTATACAGGTTGGTTTCTCAATGTTAACATTGATAATGGTCCTGCTATAAGACGTTTCCTCCTCTGCTACAATATATTTTGCATCTTTTGCTACTCTGTATTAAACATTGTCCTATATCTTTGGTGGTTTGTAAATACCACTTTTTGCACAAAACTCGACAATATTTTTTGCATCTCCGTATACCAGCATTTCTTAATTTTTTGTGTACAGAAGCTGGTTTAGTTTTTAGAGCACAAAGAACAGCTAAAGTAGAATATATAGCTCTAATATTTTTTGTATCCCTGTATGAAAGGCTGCTAATATTTTGTTTGTAAGTATGATCAACCTAATCCAAAAACACTTATAAGTGTTGTGATCTAATCATAAACTTTCATGTTTATCCCTACCTTCTCACAATTCAAGCTTTTCTCCAACTTTTCCATTTTCTTTGTTATTAATGTTATCATTGATTTGCAAATTCATTTTTCAAGTCTTTAATATAGCATTTCATTCTGCTTTAAAACCCGCAGCAACGCGCGGGTATAAATAACTAGTTGTAAACTATAGCTCTAAGTTTTTAATCGATTTCGTTAATTTTTTGAAAATCCATATTTTCTTGGCATTTTCCCAGCATCACGTGCTTCATAAAATTCAAGTTGGACATTCCATAAATGTTCTAGTCGCCGAAATCCGTTACGGTTTTGGTAACTCTGTTTTGGGCCTTACTAGTACTGTTCTTGAATTTTCAAAATTTCAACCAAAATTGGGATTTCACATAAATTGTGTGCTATAACTCTTAGTATTTTAATCTTCTTCTTTTTTTATTTATTTATTTATTTATTTATTTAATTTTATTTTTTAACATAACAAGTCTATTCGATTCCTCCGGTTTAACAAGAAAATGATTGTCATGATTATCATGGTTGTTCATATAATTAATAAAAAATTATAGGGTAATTCTATTAATACCTCACAATCTTATGAAGACACCCTACACTTAAAATTTATCACGTAAACTTCTTCTTTTACCCCTATTTGAATTAAGGTGAGAAAAAGAAAATCCAACCATCCAATTATTTGCCGGCCAACCACCTCACAGCTATCCACTTACCATGGCACCACATTCTCTAAAGTTCATCTTCTTGTCCGTATGAATTCTCTGTAATTGATATCTGGCATCAATTGTCAAGACAAATAGTGCTTGTTGATTTGATCTATGCTTCTGCACTTCTAATTTCATTTTGTAGTTGGATGTTTTTCTATAATTCTTTGCGAGTATAAAACCTCTAGAATTTAGGGATTTTCATTGCTTAATTGAAGTGAAGGACTATTACATTCTTTTTTATTTTCTTTGGAAACGGGGTTGATGAGTTTGGGTGTTGGGACTTAGGTTGTAGGGAGAGAATGAGAGAGGTTGGAGATGCGATGCTAATGGGGTTTAGGGATGGGAACTCGTGGAATGGAGATGTTTGGTGTTTCTTTTTGTTTTTGGGGTGGGGTGGCTTCAGAAATATGAGGGACAAAGTTGAAATTTTTGAGGAATTTTTTGGATGTGGGGTGGATTCATAACATTGTGAGGTGTGTATAAAATAACCCAAAATTATATCTTAGTAATGTAACCAAGGAAAAAAGAAAACACATAAAATGGAAGGATCTTGTAGACGAGAGATTTTTTTTAGTGTGGGGACAAATGGTGGAACACCATATGTGATTATACATTGGAGGAATTAGGACATGGTGTTTCATTTAATGTTTTGGACATGTGGTGTTTCGTTTAATGTTTTGGACACAGTGAAAAAACTCTTGTTGTATAGATGGGTTAAATACAGTCTTATGCATCAAGTTCAAATTCTTGTTCTCATAAATTTAATTAGACGTTAAAATCGTCATCCAATACATCGAACAAAAGACATTTTCTTTGCATCAACAAGAGGAGAGTTCAACTTTTCTCTCTCAAAGATCTATCTCGCTGAAAGACAAATAGAGATAAAAAAACTGTACTGGCCGGCCTTAGCCTTTGGCTTGGGTGCCGGTGGCAGCCCCTCTTTTTGATCCTCCTTCCTTTTTTCTATCATTTCAATTTCCTACTAAATTTTGTTCCAGCTTTCTTTGAAATTGGTCTCAATTTTTCTTCTGAACTTGTCTCAGATTTGGCTTCATGCCCCTTCCTCGGCATCCATCGCCGCTTGTCCGCCGTTTTTCGTCAGTTTTTACTGCCTTTTGTTATTTAGGTTTCCACCATCCCTCTCCTCTGCCTTTTGGTCTGATCATGGAAAACATTATTGGATAACGTATGGTCTAAGTCAACAAAATAGAAAAGAAAAAACCTGACGACGTCATTTAAGGAGGAACTAGTCGTATGCTAACTTTGGTTTGCGAGCCAATTACTATGCGTCCCTCTTCTTGTTGAAAGGGACAATTCCCTCCATTTCCTGCATTGAAGTTCAAACAGTGCAGGCAGAGAGAGAGCCATGCATCTATGGCCGTCGACGACGATCAGAGACTCCTTCAAGCTCGCCTACCTGAGAAAGCTCGAATGGAACCTCCAGAGGATGAAAAGCGAGAAGGAATCACATAATTCAGTCGATCAAAAGCTGCTTGACGGCCAAGAAGCCGGAGCCGCCAGACAGCCGAATAGCCCACAATGCGGAATCAACGGGAAAGCGCTACCAATTCTAAGGCTCGTGGAGGTGATGGAGTGGTCGTTGGACTCTGCGGCGAGATTCTGATGCTTCTCTCTTGCTACTTTTGCTGTTATTGATCGTCATTATTTGGTTTTGTATATGGGGGAAATTTGCTAAATTTTTATCGTCAGTGTTTTAACTTAGGTAGAAAACTTAGGTTAATCGTTGCTTAGGGAGACCTAAAAATTTAAAAAAAAAAAAAAAAAAAAAATCTCATATAGGACTAAGGTTCTAAAAGACTCTAGACGCTAGTCGGATGACAGGACTAGCTCCTAAGCAGCTAGGCGGGGCATAGGCGGACTAAGCGGATTTAAGTAGATCTTATATTCCGTGTAAATAAGTGTCAGTTTATACTTAAAATATATATAATTTCATCATAAACTACAAAATAGAATAACATATATATTATGAAGTATTGGAATATAGGGAAAAACATGGGAACAAACATATAATGTGTGTTCATTTAAGTATTTAATATGTCTCTTATAATTTATTGAAAAAAAAATAAAAAATAAAATATAAGTTATCTATTTTCTTTCTAAGTGAATCGCAACCTAGGGGGTCTATGAGGGCGCTTTAGTTGGTCTAGGCGCATTTTTTTAATTTTCAAACGCCTAAGCATTAATCGGAACGGTGACCAACCGCCTAACACCTAGACGGCGCTAGGCTGGGATTTTTAAAACAGTGTATAAGACTCAAAAGGTAGACCTCACTGTTAATTTTGAGTGGAAAACAAACTCATTCATGTGTGAGTGTTGTACACCAGCTTCTTTTTGTTGAAAGATGGATACAATCAAAAGTAAAAGAATTTACGTGGCCATTTTTATTGAAAGATGGGTAAATTGAGCACGTCCACTTGTATTCAATTAATGAAAGTTTCAAACTTAGACACGTTATATTGAAACTTCAACAAATATAAGATGGGATGACTGCTTGATTACACCATTGACACTTTTATTTTCAGCATCCAAAAGCCCAAAATACGAAAATATGGATCATGGCTTTTTATCTTTAATGTTGGGTGGGCCTTGTGGGTTGCCCTTTCATTCGTCAAAAAGCCTAAAACAGAAGTGGGCTGTAATTTGCTTCTTGTGGTGGAAACCAAGCAAGTTGAAGATGGGCCTAATAGCTAGCAGACAGTTTACCAGATCGAGTGAGGTTAGCTACGTTGCCAAGCAAGATCCTGTCTTACCTCACCCACATTGAGTTTGAGTTGCCACTGGGTCCCTTGAGACTAACTAGATTCCAATACCTCTACCTCAAAGGGCCGAAGGAGTGACATAAACATAATGTATACCCTTATTCTTACCATTTTTAAACGTATTATAAGCATATTACTTCACACTATCAGCATGTATAGAAAATTTTCAACGTGAACGTAACATTGTCACGTACTATTATATAATAGGTGATTGGTAACATTACGTAACGCTGTCACGGTCACATAAAAAAACTTGGGTAGGGTAATTTGACTAGCTGAATGGTTCATAGAGGAATGCGCATTGCTTTTGGTACATGTGACCTAATGCAGGTACAATTTACAATCACACAGTCTCACGCTTTGTGAGAGTAACTTGATTATCAAGCTGCCATACTAAATACTCTCTCCTACGATTAAAACTCTCATGCACCATATTTCATACCTGTTTTTTTTGTCTTTTTAACTAGATTAGTCATGTGATTAGAGAGATAAAAAGAAAAATTTGAAACTGAAACATGGAATATACAAGTAAAGAAAATGTGTGCACGTTTCTATGATTGCTTCTTCTAGCACGGCAAACAAGTGCAATACTTCAAAATTAAGCAACCACCGTCACTTCTTCTTAAGAGCTCACCCTCACCCTCAGTCTCCACCACCAAAGGGACCTCCCTCTACCGCCACTTCTTCAAACTTCAACTGCAAAAATTACCAACAGATTAATCAAATTTACTTAATTATGGCACCCATCACCAGCCTCGTCTGCTTCGCTCTCACTCACTTTGGTTTTCTCTGGACACCCACATTTTTTCAAAATTTCAGGTATGAAAACCTGATTGAGCTCGTGCGAGGTACATTCAGCAGTTACAGGTACGAAAATCCCCTCGGTCTCCCTCCCTTGGGTTTTGGTTTTGCACACCCTCTACTTGCAACCCTTGTGTAATCTCATCGTTGCAGCTACCTGCATTTAATTGTTGTTCAAACTTAATCAACACCATATATATATATATATATATATATATATATATATGTGCGATCATATGTATGTATGTTGAAACGATCAAAGTTCGACATGACCGGCTACGTTTGATCTCGTTCGATGAAGTGATCATGAAGGGGCGTTGTTTGGTTTTGGAGCTGCAGATGAATGTATTGTACATGTGTTTTGTTA